TATGATATGTATACATCGTTTCAAGAATCTTACTATGAAAAAAGTATACGGAACCCGTTATTAAGCCCTTCTACTTTCTTATCAAACGCTCCGATTATAGTTATCGATACATCAAAACAGAACGATTCAGCCACAGCCTCGGCAGTAGATGTTCAATTGGAAATTGAAGCATCAGAATCCCTTACAGGTGTAACTGCTTATTGTTTATTAATTCACGATAGAATTGTAGAATATGTGCCTTTTACTAGAGAAGTAAGAAAACTTGTATAATTATAATTTAGAATTAATTTGTATCAATAAAAAACAATTTTTAATTTAATAATTTGTAATCTTTTCATGAAATATTATTCCAGTTTTTTATTTTGGTTTGATAAAAAAAGCTACATTATAGTCAAAACATTATTAAGTATATACCTACACTAAATATTTTTGTGTGATGAATAAATAGGTACGAGTGTATAATCTTCGTAATGTGTGACACAGTAAATCTGTGATCACTGAAGTGACATTCCGTCTTAAACACTGCGTAATTATCACTGTGAAAAATCATTACACTGTAATCATAAAAATGTATACTACTAAGACAGAATAATAACCATTCGGTTTATATAAAAAATATATACCTGATACACAATTAGTTAAGTACTATATCAATTCAAATGATTTAGTTATACCAGGTAAAAAAAAAAACAACTACATAATTGTACAACACTAAATTTCAAAATTAAATGATAAAATATAAAATGTATCATTATCATATAATATATTATTTAATTATTTATTTATTTATTTATTTTTATTTAATGTTTATACTTACAATTTACAATTTACAATTTACAATATAGAATAACGATAGCAATAATAGTATATTAATATTTAACAATTAAACATTTTTAAATAATTCAATACAAGTAAAACAATTAATACAAGAATTATATATAATAAATCAATAAATTATAAACATTTTAAATAATTAAACACACGTATATATATTTTAAAATTATTAAATAATTACAGTATCACAAATCATATTACTTTACAATTTATTTATCATAATGAATATCGGTCAAAGTCTATCGTAATATAATTAGATAGGTACATTATAATAAATCAGAAATTAATCATACTCAAAGGTTAATGATAATGATATAATATTAAAATGAATACATAGTTTTATCAAAAGCTTTGTAACCAAATTAATTAACACTAATTTTTAATTTTTACAATTTATAAAATGATCAATTTAAATCCAATAAAATAAATCTACAGGTCATCTTAAACTACAGGTTAATTCAAATAATCAAATTATCATATGTTTTTATATTTTTTATATTGATTTTGCAATCAAAATATAAAATATTGAATGATTTAATAATTATAAAATGAGATTGTAATAAAATATAACTATAATTATTCTTGATTATTTTAATTTATAATGACCATATGGTAGTGTACAAATACCACCTTTTAATATAACACGTTTATCATCATTTGCGCTCAATACTATTTTTCTCATTGTTTTTGAATATACATTATGTTTGGTTGACTGTATCGAGTTAATATCACAGTATGCATTAATTTTACTAGGTTTATCATTTAATGTATCCGTATGTTTAGAATTTTGTATACTGAACTTTGATAAAATATCTAAATAATGATTGACTGTCATATACTTGTCTCTAACATACTTTTTTACACCTTTTGCCTTTTTGTATTCAATACCACTTACCGTATAAGCGTATAATTTAGGTCTTAGTGTTACAAATTCGGTCATAATCTTACTTTGAAGTTCATCTTTAAACAACCCCGGGGTGTATTTACGTTTATCACTGTAACAAATGTGATCAATTGGAAAATTAGAAGTATCAAAATGATTCAATAAATCAAATTTTAAATCATCAAAAAAATTATTTGTTTTAATACGATATATTAATGAATCGGTGTCGGTATATAATAGTGATATTTTATTTCCATATTTATTTTTCATTACATCGTAATGGAAATTATAAATATATGTTTTCGAAATATCCAAAATAGAAAATCCCACGTATATTGGTTTATCGAATTTAATTTTTTCTTTTTGAAAATTTAAAGACATAAGTTCATTGGAATATATAGTTCTATCAATGAAATTAGGTTTTCTCATTAGTCTATGAGCTTTTCGATCATTGGATACTAACTTAATATCTAACCTTTTACGTGGATTCTCCATACATTTTCCATAAACACTATTTACCATTAATTTCCAAAATTCATATTCAAACTTGTTTTTCGCCAAGACCCTCATACTTGTACATTTATCTACATAGGGGGCTAACCATTTTGATTGAGCAAACTTAATTATTTTATGTACTTTTACAACTTTTAATCCGTTATTTATTGCTTGTTTTAATAATCTATAGTGAACGACGTAATTTTTTTTATTATTTAATGTTGTAAGCAATTTATTTATCTTAGAATTAGGTGGGCAACTATTGTGTGGTAAAAAGGGTAAATCACTATGATGGTCATGTAATTTTTCAGGGTAATTCACATCTACTTCTAGTATATATCCAATAGGTGCATCATCATCTATACTAGTAACGTCCAATGTCAAATCATTATACCATTCAAAATCTTTGTATGGTAAACTTGCAAGCATTGATTTACCGTAGAGATTAACACAATCAAAATACCCTAAATAAATGTGAGGTTTTTTTTCGTTGTAATTAATTCCGTTCACATCAGGTAAATTGGCTCTAGCATAACGTCTTACAGATTGACATACCCCCCCTCTTATACCATTCTCTATCAGGAGGAGTATTGGATATTGTTTTAACCTCTCGAGTTGTACACCTGTATAACTTAACATTGCGTCAAACGCAAAACCAGGTGCTGTTAAATAATAAGAGGCATCTAAATTAAAAGTTTTCAAACAAATATCTCTAAAATTTTCAAATACATCAGCCAGAATCAATACGTCAGTTAATAAGTATAAATCACTATACTCACCTAGAGTTTTTATGTTAAATTTCTCCCAAACATTACATGCATGCATATAATCTTTTTTAGAAATATGGTCATCTGTTAAGGAATTATAAAATTTACACCTAGGTGGTAATGTTGTTTCTTTTAGTTTCAAGTTACTATCTACATACTCATAGGGAAATACACCTTTTCGAATAACTAAATCAATGTTTTCTAATGAAAAGTGATGGATAATTTCACGAAATCTTGTTTTATCTTCAGCTAAATTGGTAGCTAAATTAGAGAGTGATTCTGACATGAACATAAACGTGTCTACAAATTTTACATAAAATTTATCTATAATTTGTTTACTAAATGACAAATATTTTTCACCCGAGTTCGGAATAATGCGTATGTCATTATCATTACAACCTAAGGTACGTACAATAAAATGACTGTCATACGATAAATTATGGAAATATACTGGTACAAATGATGGTTTATGTGCCAAAAAATTACAATTTAGACATAAAGCCCTTAAATATTTCCCTGTAAGATGCGAGTGGTCTCTAACTTTTAATACAGTTTCATTATCAAATGATCTTGAACAAAGTTCACATTTTGATGAATAAATATATTGACTTTCTTCCTTTTTTGTTAATTTATTCATTGATATATTAGTATTATAAAGGTGATAAATTTTGGTAGAAATACTAATTATAGTCGACATAAAACGCTTTGATGCATTTTTACCTCTATAAATTATAGGATTTCTAGGAATTTTAAATTTATTTATTAATTCTTTTGGAACGATGTTGTAATCAATTTTAACATATAATCCATAACTCATGGGTTTATGATAATGAGTATTTTTAGTATTGTCTGTTATAATATTATTAATCGGTTTTAAAAAGCATTCAAAATCAGCATAAATTACAATCGGAATTCGGTCGGCTTGATTAAATTTATTAAAATATATAAATTCATCATCATGTGAATCAATCATTACAGGCTTACAAAGTTTATGTTTTTGACAAATTACTTTATGATTGTCAAGACCATGCTGGCCCCATGGCTTATTTTTATTTAGATTATTGTTAAAAGTTGTAAAACATCGCTTGCAAATAATTATTTTACTTGCATGTTTTGTTCTTTGTGATCTGATCAGTCGTGAGAAATTATTTATAAAACAAAAATGACTTGTTGTTGCATTTGTGAAATAAAACAAATCGTAATGATCGGATTTTTCGATATTAATTATATGAAGCGGGTAAATTTGATTTTTATCATCACAGCTATAAACATTAACTGATATGTTATTAATTTTTTCAAATTTTTTTATTTGATTTATTGGTGTAGGATAATCAATACAATTAAAATTAAGCCCACTTTTTTTTTCTAAAAAATTAAAATATTTAATACTAAAATGATTTTTATTTTTTTTTTCATTAAATTTTGATAAAATTGCATATTTAAAACAATTATTATCATCATTCATAACGTTAATAATTGCTTTTTTATCATAAATTATTTTTGGTAATTTTATAAATGAGGATCCACCTAGTAAATTAACCTTATTCGTTCTTAATTGTAAACCATCTAAACTAATTTGTCTCCAAGAAGATCCCTTCAACAGAAATGACTCTTGTTCGTTTAATAAATTATCAAACATGTTTTTTAAAAGAACTGTAAAATTTGACGTAAAAAAACATAAAACATTTGATGTTTTAAAAGCAACATCTCGTACTTCACCCGTAATTAAATTTTCATATACTAAGTCTACAAATAAATTAAATTTATAGGTCGATGTGGAACATAGTTCTTTTAATTTTGATTTTAATAATGAAGATGTAGAATTTAAAAACGATGATAAATCAATAATATTTTCGTGGTTTTTTAAAAAAAAAGTTTTTGAACGATTATTTTTAAATTTCTCAACTTCTACTAAACCCCCCCCAGTTATGTTTAATCGATCAATTTTTTTAATATGATTAAATTTTGACATTCTTAATAATTAATAAAAAACTATGCGAAATTTAAATATATTAAATTACTTATGTATGAACTGTTGATTGTAGTAAATCCGCTGTGTAATTAAATATTGGGTACACTTGTTGTATGTAATCTTCACTAGGTTCAGCATATGAATTTTGACTGTCGCAAACAGTGGTATATTTTTGACACGTGATACACCTTCGTCTTTGACAATAATACATTAATACATTTATTTCTTTGAACATAATATGAAATGCATCAAAACGTAAATTGTCAAGATTTGAACTAAAATGTGTTTGATTAAAATAATTAGCGCATTCAAACGAACAAAATATATCAACAATATAACCATTAAATGAATATCGCACTTCCCTCACGACAAAAGCTGAATGCGTCTGTCGAAAATATTCATATACGTCACGTTCACTATGAGCAAACGAATATTTTGCAATGTGTCGTATTGTAGTCGGTGGTATATGTCTAATTACACTACAGAGGTTGTCATCGGGTATCATCACTGCTAAAAATGAATAAAATCATTATAATTTTTATAATTAAAATTGTGTAATTAATTAACATACAAAAAAATATTTACAACATGAAATATACTGACCACTTTATAAAACGCTCATGCTTACCGTCCGCTTCACTTGTTGTGTATAACTAATCATCTGATCATACTATTAATGTATTATGAAAATATAATATATAATTATCAATATTGTATACGGTAATAAAAAATGAAAATTATGTGATTAAAATATATAATACCTAATTAGCATTATCGTATATGATATTAATATGATTATGTTATTATATTATATTAATATTATATGAGGTTAAATAAAATATCTTATTAGCAATTATCTAGTAAACTCGAAAGTATAATTACTTATAAATAGATTAGTGATAAATAAATTGTGTAGTCAGTATAATTTATAATAATTGATATACCGTCCGTATGAATTATGATAAAATATAATGTAGGTATTAATATCCATACATTAAAAGCTATGAGTAATGGGAAAACTTAGATCAAAAGGTGAAAACAACAAGTTGTTCACACCTACATACATAATAAACACGTCAGCAGTAACGAGGGATAATTTAAGATTTTAGTCTATCACATTACAAGTAGTCATTGTTGTACGTCATAATATAAATCGATATAATGTATGTATTTTTATCCTTACATTAAAAGCTTAGTAATAGGAAACTAAGATCAAAAGGTGGAAACAACAAGTTGTTCACGCCTATTCATATAATATACAAGTCAGCATTATAGTTATAACGAACGATAATTAAGATTATAGCCAATCACAGTTTTCATTGTTAGACTTCATATAAATATTGGTTAACCACATAATATTTGTTAGAAGATAGTCAGCAACAGTCAGAGTGTTCACTAATATCGTTAAACATGAGTGCACAGAATTCAGATGTTGAAGAAATCAATGTAAGTATACAACATTATAATAATAATTAATATATCATTAATATTTATAAATTTATATACAATTATCATCACTAAATGTTATAAACATATTAATTATAATTAAGGAACAATATGGTAAAATGCAGAATTTTAAAAAAATCAAACGCAGTACAAACATTAAACAAAAAAAACAGAATGAAATAATGACCAACACAAGTGAACAAAATTCAGATGATGAAGAAATCAATGTATGTACATTATTATTATTTTTAGCTTACTTTCATTAAATCCTCACGAAGTATTGTAATCATATTAATCATATTAATTACAATTTAGGAACTTTATGCTAAAATGAAGAATTTAAAAAAAATCAAAAATAATATAAATAGTAAACAAAAAAAACAAAAAATAACAATGAGTACAAGCAACCAAAATTCGGATGATGAAGAAATCGATGTATGTATACATTTATTATTATTGATAGATATATTATATTAATATTTTATAATTTAATTGAAAACATGATAATATAAATTTAGGAACATTACGGTAATCGAATAAATCAAATACAGAATTTAAAAAATGTCAAATCCATTATAAAGTCTAAACCAAAAAAACAAAAAGTAAAATATTAAATATTAAAATATTATATTTATTAAATAATATTGATTTTAGTTTCAGTCACATTTATTAAAATTAGAACAAGAATATGATGGATCAACATTAAACAATCAAAACTGTATACGTGTAAAAAAACCAGGTGGTGGTAATTTTTCAATTAAAATACCTGTGAATCAAGGAGGAGGTGATTATTTGGTTGTTCAAAAGTATAAGACAGCCGATATGGAAAAAGTAGAGTCAAAAGAGAGGTAACAACAATTGTGATGTGTAGTATATTTAATAATATATCTATGATAATATACAAATATAATTAATTATAACATGTATCCATTATTTTGATTTTTAAATAGATGGAAAACTAGTACATTTAACGCAAAAATTATACTCGACGAAAAAGATAAAGCTGACAATGCAATAATATCAGCATTCAACAACTTACAAGATTTGATGATGGATAAATTTATGTGTAATGATGATAAACAAATTGAATCTTATCAATAATAAGACTACACATTTATTCTATTTTAATTTACATATTGTATCACACTTAAATAAAGTTATATGTATTTGGCAATTGTGTTATATAAAAAAATGATGATATTATTATGTATAATCAAATTAATAAACAAATAGCTATGATACATTAATTATTATATTTTTGAAATAAAAAGACGAATCATTATGAAATATACAACTATTTTATTAACAGATTACAACAAATATCAAAAAAATAAAAAATAAAAAATAAAACAATATTAATGATTAAAGATATAATATTATAACACAATATAATAACAACATCATACAATTTTAGTAAAATAAAAATGAGTAATTAAAATGTAATAAAATCAAATCATGATTATTTGGTTTTTATTGATTGATTATGTCAGGCTTTAATACAATGTCTGCAAACTTTCCATGATGTATTTGCTGTAGATCAAGTAAAAATGATATCTCTTCATCCTTCAGATCATCCATTTTGAAATTATAATCTTTAATATATGTACTGATAAAATCACTTCTAATACAATCAGGTGATAAATATAAAATATCATACTTGATAATTATACATGCATTATTAAAAACAGTTTGATACATCACTAATTTATTTGTTAACTCTATGATATTTGCATTTATACATGGTTCCAATAATTTCAATCGATTTAAATTATCACTGGATAATGTGATTCTGTTATTATTATGATATAAATTAACTGATTCAGATTTTGGACATATTTTATAATAAAAATTATTATCCAAATGTAATCGTTTTGAATGTTGAACAGTGGATAAAGAACGAACAATTATATTAAAACTATCATCAGATATAAACTTATTCCATTGAAATACATTTAGTATTAGATAACGTTTAGTTACGTTACACATGAATAAAATAATTACAGATAAAGGCTGATCAACAAGGTATCCAATATAAATGTTTTTTTTATTCTGTTGATGTATGTTGAATATTGATTTGACTATTACACCTTCCATGATGAAGTGTACCTACAGTATTGATTTAATTAGTTAACTCAAGATGATAATATTTTGGTTTAGATTTCACTCTAGTGGATCTTCTAAGTTTCTTCAATGTACAACAGTGTTGACGTATCGGTTGGATTTTATCGATTGTAATATACGATTTAATTTTAATTAAATTATTATTACTTTGATGAGGAGATAAATAAATAAAATACAACATAGTCAAGACTACTACACTAGTACACTGTCAAAACACTACTAAAATCAAATCTAGAAAAAAGCTAAATATATTTAACAATGTGTAGACAGTTGTTATCAGTTTGATCACATAATGAAAGTTAAAAGTATTTATATAGTCAATGATTTTTGTTTATCAATTAATATTTTTTTTTTTTCAAATCTATAAACATATAGTTAGTAACAACACACAAACATGTATCAGGTCAGCAATGACAATTTGACCACACACAAAACTAAATGATAATTGATTTTTTCTGTTTCAAATTCAATAACATATTGTTGAATACAAGAGAGAGTACTATTTGGTGCATTCAACTTTTATAATATTCTTCATAGATTGCATATTATTCGTAAAAATTCTCAGGAATTACGTTCTGCAGATGTAATCGATTACGGGTACAACGGATCTAGCGCGTAGATGGCATTGTTCCAGTGACTCCTTGGAGTTCCACGTTACGGGTGTATCGTTCATGAGCTGCCCATCTCGTGTACCGCTACAATGATCCGACAACGCCTTTACTCGATGCTGATCCGATTATTCGGTGGCTGCAATGTCGTTGACATATTATGAATCTATTCGAATATACTTGCTATACGATCACGAGATATTAAATCAAATATTAACACATATAAGTTGTTTTAAAAAAATGAATATTTATTTTTATTTACTATAATGTATAATAAAAACATGATTAATAAACGATATTGTATAACTCAGTTTTGCAATTTACAAATATGTTCGGTTTTACAATATTTACTTAATATGTTTTGAACATACTGATTACCCTTCATTAATAACACATATAAACATCTTGGACTGAATCTGCAATGTTCAATCCACGGGTCGTCAAGCCTTTCCCAATTATAAAGAATAAGACCACAACAAAAGCATTCCACGACATCATCGACTCCTGAATATTTTAAGCCACATTCGGACAATGTATATTTATTTTGACAAGTATTTGACGGGAATAATTTGAATGTTTTAAATCTTGATGAAAACGAAGAAAATGCTGGATGAACCATAGTCGGATTACTTCGTATACGATAAACTAATGATTCAAAATCATTTGGACATTTTTGAAAATTCATTTTTGAAGAAATTAAATAACTTATGCACTGCAATAAAACTTTGAGAAAATAAAGAAAAATGAGACACGACTTGAGTGATCGGCGCATCATTAGTAACTGAATATGAAAAAAAAAAAACAGATTAAGTTATATTGTATTATTATAATATACTACAATCAGTTATTACAAAATCTAATTACTTCAAAATGCAAACGCACTTAATTATGAAATTTAAGTTTATGAAAAAAAAAAAACAAAAAATGTAGACTCATGTCCTAGTTGACTATGACACTGGATGTAGCATTAACATACTTACTTACCCTAAATTCAAATTTATCAAACTCTAAATCCAACGCCTTAGTCCACTAGGCCATGAGTCTACAAGTTAATTAATTAATATTTGTACATTTAAGTTGAAATAATGAAAAATAAAAAACGAAAAAAAAAAGTAAATATATTTGTAGAAAAAAAAAATAATAATAATAATAAAAGAACACATAATAATAATCATTGATGTGTAATTCAGTAAAATATCTTTTTTTAGTAAAATTTTTCCCGGGGTCGTCACTGACACCACAAGGGGAAAAGTTGTGGATAAACGATTTTAAATCTCCCTGTAACTAATAAAAACTTGGATAGAAAGACCCCACAAAACTGATTGCTCAA